GAATGCAGTCCTCCTGATTTGATAGTGTGCCATTTTGAAAATGTTACTGTACCCATTCCTTAGCCTCACACAAATTACTTATTCAGACTGTGCACAGTCTCATAGGAAATGTCCTCTGAATTTTAACTATTATTAGTGTTGTTTGTTTATTATGTAGACATTTATTAATCTGTCCCCATTTTTTGTGGCAACCACTTAAAATGGAAGGGTTTTGTTCTGATATGCAAAAACATGTTGTAAGAGAAATATCCTGTAACTACTTTCAAGATGTTAATTTCAACAGAAAAATAAAAGGTTTGCTAAATAGGAAAGGGGGAAAAGTCCTCTAGGGAGAAAAAAAAGTTTTTTTCTTTTATTGGCTTTTTTTTGTTGTTGTTGTTTGGAGGCCTTGCTTTTACAGCAAGGCAGGTGAATTAGCTAAAGGCTGTGGTATATTGCAACTGTGTCAAAAGTCCGTGCAATCAATGCAAAAGGAGGAGAAGTACACATAACTATACTGTTCCTGACCCACGAGGTCAGGACATGTCTGGCCCATGTGCTTAAAACACAGGAAAGAATTGGAGGACAGCAGTGTTGATGCTTACTTAGATATATAGACGTATATATTTAGAAAAACAACAACTGAAATTCAGGCAAACCTTTTGAAGTCAATGCCATTAGATTTCTAGTTTCCACTTCTGTTTTCATGCCAGAATAAAGGGTTAGGACCCAGTAAGAAGTAGGATAAAATAATGTTGCTAGTAGCACCTGTTTTTTTGTTAAGGATTCTTGGAGTCCACCAAGCTCTACAGCCCATTGAGGTGTCCATCAAAGCTCTTAACACCAGAGGAAGCCTGCTTGCCAATAATTTCGGAAGAGAATTCTGTTTCCCTTTCAAAAACTGTGCTTTTAAGCTTCAAAGAAAACACTAGACAGTGTCGGGTAAGAGGAAAGCAGTTATTAGCCAGTAAAAACAAGACAGTGTATTTTCTTACAAAACTTTTACATTCCTGTATTCAGGATTGTCTAGTTCACTTTTGCATATTATCATATAACCATAAGCATAAAATCACTAAGCTTCTTTAAAAAATAAGCTTTAACTAGCCAGAGCTCTGAATGTTAGTATTGCTGCCCAACAGCCCTGTAGGGATCACACTTTGTTTACTCAGATATTGGCCTTTCACCTGTGATGGCCAGGAACCATAAGTTGTTTTCTGAGTTCAGCTTACCTTTTCAGTTCCTTCCAGTCATGCTGTCAGGGTTTTCTTCTATAAAAATCAAACACTGTAAATAATGCAGTAGCACTGAAAGTATTGTACATGTTCATACTTAATTTTAGAGTAGAAAGGTGACATATGAGGCCTGTAAATTGCATTTTATAATTAAATCTTTTAGTTGCTTACTCTATTTCTGTATCACTGAAAATATTTCAATAACACTACAAATTCTTCCTCTTAAAAAAAAAAAAAGTATTAGGTGAAAGACATTCTGAACTGAGTAGGGTACATCATCTCTATAGAAGTGTGGAATCTTTTATTTCCATTCTAGGGATAGCTATGTTTCCCCCTGGTCCCCGTTGTACTTGCAGGATGGAGGAGGGAGAATAAACTAGGGTGCACCCCTCACCAGTTGCTTGGAACCTGTACCAAATGGAATGCAGGGGAATGTGGCTGGATGACAACATTTTACTCCTCTTTTGAACCACTGCTAACAGGAATATTCTCACCCCATTTTTAACAACATTGCTTATAGCTTTAAGAGGTAACTAAAGCTTAGCATAATCCTCTCTTTTCTTCAACATACGGACTTATCTTTCCATTAATGTTTAACTTTTTGTGTCCTTGTAACTGGAGCGTAAGCATTTAACTTGAGCTTGTGGCTTCTTTGTGAACAATGCCTAAAATTTATTGTCTTCTTATACCACTGTATCCTGTTTAAATGTAGTCTCAAGTGTTTATTCCAGTCACAGAGGACTCTCATGCATTAAGAAGCCAGTCTTAAGTTTCTGAGGTTGCAGCGTAGTGTCTTTATTCCTGTACAAGAACTGCATGATACCCGTGCAACCAGTATGCATGGTCTAACTTTAGTCCTGGCATTCCCTAGCTTGTTAGGGTCTTCATTTTGCAACACCAGTTTACTGCTTAAAATCTCCCTCTTTCCTCTAGAAAAAAAGAAAAAAATATTCTGGAAGTTGGAAAAAAATCTGTAATAGCACTAGTCAACATAAAAATATATGTATTACACTGTTCTTTTGAAAACTCAATTCTGTCTGAGACCTAATTAATCTGTGAATATATAAGTAGGGGGTTGATTACAAAGTAATTAAGAGATCACCTTTACTTCTCCTTTCCCAGCTGCTGCCAATCTGTCTAGGTTTAGTCCTGTCCAGAGTCTTCCTTCTTTTTTTCCTCCCTCTCTCTTACACTAACTTTCTTTTCTGCTTTGAAGAGCAATGTTCTTTCTGAAATTGGAGCATGTAATTGCTTATTGTTAAGCCACCTTATAAAAACTATATTGTAGACAGCCAGGTACTATTGGACCTTCTGTGGGCTATCACAGTACTAGTGGATTATCATCAGAAACCTGGGGTCCGTTTGTAGTTGAAGATTGTGCAAATTTTCCTCATACTATTGATTTGTTTTCGTATATTTGGTTCTGTAACTGTTTGCTAGGAGAGATACTTAGACAGTCATTACTAATAATTTTTGCTCCCTAAATGTGTTTGAATCTGAAAAAAATGTTAATTTTCTTTTAGTTTTTGTCTGGGTGAAAATGATTTTGTCATGTTAAAAAATATCTTCTAGTTAATATTTCTTCTGTTTTGGTTTGTTTTTTTTTTTCCCCTATCACAGAAATATCAAGAAACAGCAGAGAAAAACAAGGAAAAAAATTTTATCCTTGAAAAAAGATGGAAGAAATTGACCCTTGAAAATATTTCTCTGAAAAATACTCTAATGCAGGTTCAGAATGAGCATTCATCTCTCCTGGCAGCCTGTGCACTATTGGCAGGTGCCCTGTATCCTCTCTATGGCCGATCATGTGCTATGTCTTTCCAAAGAGACCTTCTCCAGGACCAGGTCAACATTTATGAATTAGTGAACCAGGAGATAAGGACCCTAGTTCATGTTCTCTCTGATGCAGAGGGAAACAATGAAGATGAAGCAAAACTGAAGAAAAGATTCAAAGGCCTGATTCACGTATTCCGAAGAGGTGTGATTGCAGTTTTGGCAGCTAACAGACTTAAAGTTTTAGCCCAGTCTTCTCGTTCCCTCTTCTCCTGGGTAAATGGCTTTAAAGAAGGCATTGGAATTCTGGTTTGTATAGGAGACTCCAAAGGCAAGCGTAATCTGTCAAGTAAGCTAATTGTTTTCTTCTTTGATAAGTGTCATGTCAAATTACATAGCAAATAACAAATAATAATGTAGTTTCTGGATTTGTGCTTTTTGGCTTTCTTTTCCCCTAAAAGGAAACACTTAGTCTGTTAAGTGTTGAGAGAAAAGTTACAACTACATGTGTGAACTTATACTGTTTGATATCCTTGATATTTGCGTTAATGGATTTCAGAGCTAGGTGTTACCGCATGTCCTCTATGATAAATATCTTGTAATGCTCCTAAATGATTGTCTGTCAACATATTTTATGAACAGATACTTCATCTTCTTTTATTATTCACTTTCAATATTTATTTCCTACTAGAAATACAAGAAGTTACTTTCTGATTCAGGTAAAATATTAGTACAGGGTTTCTAAGTTTTTCTTTAGAGATTATGTAGTTTTCCTTTCTGTTACCAGACCAGCTCATGCTTCCCCCTGCAAGGATAAATGGTATTAAAAAATGTTTCCCAAACTAGAAGACTCATCCACTTTTGTGTTTTAATAGTTCTGCAAGCATATTTAATACAGTCTGAAATTATCTTGAAAGAAGAATTAGTTTGTGGCTTATATACTTAGTTTTGGTCAATTTCTGAAAAAGCTGGAGATAGTAGTGTGCCTTATCTTATTGCTAGCTACAATTCTGTTTCACAGGTTGTGAAGAGGAACAAACTCACTGTGGTGAAATACTCAGCTGGTTTACTAGTTCTAGCCTCCTTGCTGCAATAATCAGTTCTGTCACTGAATTACAGGATGTTGTTAACAAAACAGGTAATTTTAAAAATATATTATTGTCATAGAAGATAAAATAATCTGAGTGGTTACATAATTTCTGTTTTTTTATGATGTTATCTAAACTGTTCTGGATCAAATCTCTGGAGAACTGTATTGTTTGGACAGATTAATTTTCTTTAATTGGTGATAAAGATACTTTATCATTTCAGGATATAGAGTCATGGAAACAGAAGGCTTGATGGTGCTTCTAGAAGCCATATAAACAGTTTTGCCTGCTTTGTTGTGAGATAGGAAAAAACCCATCTACACCATGCCAATAGATATTTGGCTCACCTGTTCTTAAAAGTTTCCAAAGAAGCAATATTTACAAGCTTCCTAGTTATCTTGTTCCACACTTCTAATATTTTAGAAGTGTTTTACTGAAGCTCAATGTAATTTATTTCCATAGAGAAAATCTACATAATTTCTGTCTAATCTGTGTAGTTCTTAAGTGCAGGCCCTAAAACTGGCTCATGTTCAACCTGAGACATTACCACTGCTGACTGAAAGGAAATAATTTCCTACTGTGTTTCGCATGATATGAATTTAGAATTTCCAAATCTTGAAAACAGCTGAATTAGGTGGATACTATTTTCATTGGGTTTACTTGCTACCTTGAGGTTCTTGAGAGAGAAATAGAATGCTCTCAACTTACACAATATATCAAAGTCCTTGTTTTATCTCTCTACTTTGTTCCGTCTCTAAGTAGATGCTTAATTAGATTAGTGTCTGGGTTCCCTAATTTTCTCAGTCTCTCCTCATATAGAATTTCAATATTCCTATGGAAAATTGTAGTGCCAGTCTCTGGAAATGTCACATCTAGATTCCCAGCTGTTAACTATCTTCCTTAATTTGTTTACTGTGAGGGCTGATACAAGATCTCAATTGTTTCCACTGCATTGCTGTCATCCTTAGTTCTTTGATACCTGGTAGTTTCAAAGTCCTAATAATTCTGTCACAGAATAGAGGATATTAAAGGAAGGATAATTTATATGAATAAAGGGAAATAGTGGGACAGAGAGATGATGATACATTTCCTGGAAGCATGAACAGCAAACTGGTACCAGAAGTCAGCCATTGAATCAAAAGTGTTTCAGCTCAGTTTCAGGTGCCCTCTTCTTTGATCATCCTGTTTTCAAGAACTTAAATTTACATCCTTACAAAACAAAGTTTGAACTGTGTTTCAGAATATTTACAGGGCTTTTACTGCAAGTGTTCCTGTGTATAAGAGTGTTGAACAGCAAATTTAGAAAGAATCAAGAGGAACTTTACATCAGTATCGATGTGCTGAATTGACTAGTTAGAATACCCTAAACCTCATGATATTTTGCCAGTATTGAAGAATATGAGAATTATGGTGGAATCTTAATTACTTGATGTCTCTGTGCTCAACACAGTTTTGATTTTGAGAATTAGGAAAAGTCATGCTGAGAATATTATGGCCACAGTCAGCTGGTGGTTCTTTCAGACCTTATCTCTATTTTGAGCCGTTTTCACAGAACCTCAAAATTTAACTGCTCATGTATTACTTGGAATTCTGTTGCTCATGAGATAAAAAGTCTCCCAAGAACCTTTGGTTCAAAAATTAGTAATAATTTAAAGTTTGTAATGAAATTTCTAGAAGTATCGAAGTGATAAAGCTCTGAAGGAATATATTTGAAAGAAAGCTTGCACATTTAGGAGATTATTTTATGTTCTGTAAGTCATATTTCAATAGGATTTAACCCTTCAAACTGACTTAAATGATTTTTGAAAATTTTGAAAATGTACATAGGCGATTGGAGAGGCACCTGCTCTCTTCAGAGCTTGAGATAATGGCAGTTCCCAATTAGCCTGCACATCACAGGAGTGAGTAGGCACAAGGTCCTATCTGGTTCTACAGTAGGGAATTGTTTGGTTTCAAAAAAATTTTAAAGATGAGTAGGTTCTGAGAAACGATTTGAGGCAGTTGAAAGAAACCAAATCCAGATTACTCAGATAACACTGGAAATTTTGGGCTGGTGCGCTCTGGTGATTTGAGGCATGTTTCTTGAGCTTCTAACTTTTTTAAAAGTATTTTTGGTTTAACACACATGATAGTTTCCCTTCATGCTGTCCATTAGGTTGTCCATGTTGTGGAACTGTATCTCCATGTAATTTGAATACATGTTCATTAAAGTGTTGGGATTTTTTGTTTTGTTTTGGTTTTTTTTAAGGTTAGTTTTTAGATTTGTTTGAGCAGAATCTGTACTGTAATAAACCACAGAAAGTAAAGGTCAAGCTTTTTGAATACAAATATCATCAACTGTTACACACACAAATCTTTTGAAGCTTAGCATGAAAATTTTAGTCTTGTGGAGTACTACTAAGTTCATCCTGCTGACTGTTCTATTTCACCAAAACAGAGTAAACAAGAATTCTTTCTTCATCTGTCAGTGAATCAAGATTCGTCACTTTTCATTGTCTTTTTATTTATTTAATGTAAGAATTAATTGCTATTTGTAGTATACCTGCATTTGTGTTAATAATTTCTTATACACATCAAAATGAACATAATTTAATGCTTTTATTGTAATTCCTTGATCCTTTGTGGGCAGGTACTTAAAATATGTGTACTTAAACCATATATTCTCTTCCCACGGATTATAGATACAGTTCCTTGTGGAACTGCATTATATTCTCATGTCACCTTTTAAAGCAATCAGTAACTTGCATCAACATATTTCTGTGTATTTACTCCAAACTGTTGTTTGTAAAACAAACAAACAAAAAAGATATATGATGATTTGCTTTTTTAATTCCCCATCCCAAGAAAGTGCCTTAAGTTGTGGAAGCTGAGCCATACTGAGTAACAGGAATCCTGGTTAGGAAGTGGAATGATTGTTTCAAAATGCTACAACACAGTTGCCTGAACTATTGTCACTAATTTATTTTTATTACAGTTAAGCTAGAGGTTCTAGACATAGGGAAAGGAGCTGCCATCTTAGGTACTGCATGGATGGAGAAATACTGTGATATCTGGCAGGCAAACTATCTTGTATAAAATGAGGTACCAGGTAGAAGTACTAGGAAAAATGAAAGAACAGTAGCTCATTCACAGTATCCTGGTTTTGATATTTACCAGAAATCACAGCAAAGGAGAGGTTTTTTAAAAAAAGTTCTTGTGTCAGTGTACATGTAAGGTAGTACAAATGTTCTAGTTTTAGTTTTAGGTTAATCTAACCTGGCACTCAACCTAGCAAATGCATCATGACTGGAGAAAAGACATGGTTTTTGAAACTGAAAGACAGGTAGGACATGATAATCTGTGATAAAAGTTAAAATGATTAAGATAGTTTATCTTTTATGTGATCAGTAACAGAGAACCAACTTACAGAAAAGAGAGGATCCTTGGCCAAAGTAGGCGGAGCATTACAATAGCAGTTTGTTATGGATATGAGAATAATTTTTTTTTTTTTTAATTTCAAAGGATGTTTTGTTAGTTGGCTGGGGAGGGACTTTATTCAAGGGCACATAGTGATAGAACAAGGGGAAATGGCTTTAAACTGGAAGAAGGGAGATTTAGATGAGACATTAGGAAGAAGTTCTTTACTGTGAGGGTGGTCAGACACTGGAACAGGTTGCCCAGAGAAGCTGTGGATGCCCCCTCCCTGGAAGTGTTTAAGGCCAGATTGGATGAGGCTTTGAGCAACCTGATCTAGTGGAAGGTGTCCCTGCTGGTGGCAGGGGGGGTGGGACTAGATGATCTTTTTGGAACTAGATGATCTTTGTGGTCCCTTCCAACCCAAACCATTCTATGATTCCTACGCTTCTATGAAGTGCAAGATAAAAATGCTGGATAATGTTTTTAGCTTTAAAGATGGATAGAAAGATAATATCTTAGACCTGAAGAAAAGACAGGTTTACTACTAGCTGGGGTTATGGAGAGCATGTACTCAAAAATGGTACTCCAGTTAAGCACTGGAATCATTGGAATGGTGGTGTTTTGAAACCAAGCAGGACAATGGATCTGAAAAAAGAATATTTGACTTTATCATGTGCTGCTTTATTTTTTGTTTGCTTACAGATATATTCAACCTCATATGTGTAAATGATAAATTCTTTATTATGAGAATTGTAATCTAAAAATATCAATAATCATGTTTTGTTTGCTTTGAACCTTTGGCTTTATCCTTGCAATGAATAAAAAGAAATTCTTAAAAAAACTATGTTTTTTTTTTCTATTTATACTCTTAAGTAAATATTTTAATTCACTGCAGCAACAGGAGATCTCCTGTACTGCTGAATGTAAATAAGCTCTTCCATGCTTGTCATCTTACACTGATAGTATCATAAGACAAGTAATGACAGATTAAGACCTGCCTAGCAGAGGGAAAACTAAATTACAAGACTTTTATTAAGGCATAAATAAACCTATTAACTGTTATCTGGAATACCAATTAGTGGAAGGAGCACTGACAATTTTATTTATCAACATTAAACACAATTATTAATTACAAACCTGACGAATCTAGCAGTAAGCAGGACATGTTGGGTGTGCTGGGGCCTTAAGTCCATTATATGAGAAGGATGATTACCGAAATCCTGTGGGGAAATAAGTAATTGTAGCTGTAAAATTTTAATTGCCTTGGAATAAGGTAAATTATATTCTCTTGTCTCAGAATATAAATAGTATGGCATTAAGGTACCAAGCCTCACTAATTTTGAACAGCAAATGATTTAGACATCTATAGAGGGGAGGGAAGAGGAGTCAGGAAACCCTGAGAAATCTGCATTGTAAATATTGCGATAAAGTGATTTACCGTGTGCTATCACATCTGACATAACTTGACCTGTTTTGCATTTGCTTGCAGCCATCTTACATGTTTTGTGAATTACAAAATTAGAACACCTAAGAAAGACTTAAAGTATTAGAGAAGAACATAAAAACAACTGGAAAATTACTCTTTAACAAACAAATCCTATTCTTCAGAATACTATCCTACCCTTCCATCTGAAGATTGATAGGAGTAGGGTGTTCATTGCTAAATACAGAATTTGTCCTGAAGTCTCTCTGAGATAATCCTGTGAGCTCAATCTTCCACTCTTTAATGGAAATTTCCTGCTGAGTATTTTGAGATGCTGTTTGTTGTTGTTGTTGTTGTCACTGGAAAAATCCTGAAACTAGTAACCTATTATTTGGTTTATTTTTTGTCATTGTTTCTTAAAGATCCAAAGCCCTGGCTTTCTGGACACTTACTTGTAAGTGCAGCCAGGAACTCCTTCTCAAAACTTATGGACAAGCTGAATGTAATAATGGAGACTGTTCCAATGGACAGCAGCAGGAGGATTACTTACCTGGAGAAAGATTCCTTGGTACAGAGGCTAGCTCATGGACTTCATAAAATAAATATCCAGGCCCTGGAAGCTGGATTGTGTGACAGACTACCCGTTATGGTATGCGTATTTAGAGTGCTACTTCCTGTAAAGAACAGATTCACAACTGTCTTGATAGTATCATTAATTTTGTTTCAGATTATGAGTCCGTTACGTTGAAAACAACTATATAGAAGATCAGAAGTTGATTTGCAACACCCAAAAGCAGTAGAGCATGAATAGGTCTTTTATTGTTGAAAGTTTTAGGAAGAGATTTGATGTGTCCAAGAAAAATATTTTTTAAAGTTCTATTTGCTTTATAAGAACAAACCTGCTTTTGTCTTTAAATGTTACGGGGTTTTTTTCCTGTTGCTTACTGTTCTGTCTTTCAGTAAAGATAACCTTCTTCCCTGTAACCAAAATGAAATTATAAACTTTCTCACATAATCTGTCTTTTATTGTGAGACTTACATGAAAACGGGTACTTAGTTGAAAACAGAATTTTCAGTAACCTCAACAGCAGGTGAAACAGGTTCACATTTTTGCACTTGTGTGTGTCTTTTAGAGAAGAGGGACAAAATGACAGTTTTGTGTAATTTGCTTGGATATTAAATGTGATTGATTTTATTGCTATAATAGCACATTAATTTGTTTTTGTTTACTAACAGAAAAGCATAGCATCCTTGCAGAAGCAAATATTTGAATTTACACAAAGACTTCATACAGCTGAGGTGGAACGCCACTCACTGCGCCTAAAACTTTCAGAATTCAAATGGAATTTCAGTGAGATGAAAAAAGTAGCTGCCAAAGCCCACAGCCTGCAAGAGCAGTTTAATATGTTTAAGCAATCTGTAAGTATATTTGATTTAGAGGAGACTGCTTACAAGAGATCCTCCTTTTTACACATTTTTTAATTTGTGTTCTTTTGAAAAACAAAAATAAAATCAATCTGCTATTAACAGAATTTTCCAGAAAAATTACCTTGTACACATCACTAAACTATAAGTCAGATGTATTTAGAAGTATCTCCTTTCCACAGGGGTTTCTCTTTGATTTGTAGAATGAGGTATTTTGTGTAAATTACATCTTTGGTCTTCAGCAACCCAGATTTTCTTCCATGTGTTGAAAATGTTGGTATGATTTATATATCCTAAAAGGATTTACAGATTTCACTTCAACAGTTAAATGAGCTGGAATGAGGGTATACAATGAGTATGTTCATAATAAGTTCCTAAAGCCTAAATGTAGTATTTTAAACTCTCTGTGGATATTGCTGAATACTATGATAGACAGTTTACTCTATCCTTGAGTATGGGTTATATCCTGAGTGTAAATTTTAGTGTGGCTGTTTCCTTGAAGGAATAAGTTTATGGCAAGGAGAAAAAAAGCTCTCTTCTACATTCTCAGTAGCACATACGCACCAAATTCCTCTGACCCTTTGCTGTCACGGATCGATTTACTTAAACAGTATGGGTTCACTAACCTGTAAATAGCACTGTCTGGCTGGAATGAGAAGAGACAACAAAAAGGTTCCTTAACCACTTGAAACCACAGTAAAGTGAGTTATGGACACAATGTTTGAGGCATTGATGCCATTTTGTGGTCTGTCAGTTTGTTCCCTGTCATACTGATGGAACTGTGCCTCTGGTCCTTAATGGAGGTGAGGAAACTTGTCTTGCTTTAGCATACTGGAGGTTCACTGGGCACCTTTCCTTCTAGGCTGATTTTCTGTAAGTTGCATTTGGAATTGAGCTACGTGAGAAAGTGAATGGATAAGGATTCTTATACGTACTTTACAGGTGCACAGTATAACTGAAGTCGTGTCCCAGAATAAGCCACTTTTTCTGTAGCTGTGCCCAGTGTTGATCCTGAGGCCGAGTTGGTAGACCTGTCAGTGTGTCCCAATCAGAACACTTTGGAGCAGAGAATATTTAATAGATGGTTTCACATACATTTCCTTCTTGTTCCTAGCTGGTAAAAAGGGGTTTTTTGGGCTCAAATGTAAAAGGTTATATCTGATCATCTTCAGTTTTGTTCTTAGTGGGTCTTATTCTCTTACAGTTCTGTGACAGTTAGATGAAATTGTCACATTTTAGATTGTTGTTCAAATGTAGATGACGATCTTCCTTGAACATTTTGGGGAGGAGAGAAAGAGTCTAGGAAGGTGTTTACAAGGGTTAATAAGATATGCACTGAAATGTGGGACATTGATCTGCATATTTCCTTCTAAATATTGATTCATTACAACCTCAGGTGCTAATTTGAATAGAATAATGAATGTGTACTGTTTACAGTACCCTAAGTGCTTTTTTGAAAAAATACAGTGAATGAAATTGTCTGCTGTTTTATTGTTTGGAAATCCATCTTCATGTTAAAAACCTTAAATAGTCATCTTTAGCATGCTTTTGGTTTAGAATTTGGTATGTTTGCTAGTAGAATTCTGAAAGTCAAACATGTAAACAAATGAATACAGTTACACAATCAAACACAATGTATTTCCCTTATCAGAAATTGATCACCCATGAGAGGTTTGAAAGTGCATGTGAAGAATTAAATAATGCATTACATCGGGAGCATCAGGCACAAGTGCTTTTGAATGAACAAGCACAACAGCTACAGGAGTTAAGTAATAAACTAGAACTGCATTCCAGTGAAGAAGCAGATAAAAACCAAGTCTTATGTGAAACTGTAAAGGTAAGATTATCCTTCTGAAATAGGCACCAGAAATTTACCTCTTAGTGAATGAGACAAATCTTGCAGTTCTTGTGCAAATAAAATTATAGGAGTAAAGGCACACATACTACTCAGTCCATTGGAATTTTAGGGTACTCAGAAAAGTCTTTCAAGATGAAGCTTCAAGGTATAACTTCCCTTTTCTGTTTTGGAACTGAGGAGCTGTGTACACCAATATCCGTAATCTTTGAAGTGTCTGGATTTTATGTGATACATAAGAGACAGCAGTTCTCGCTATCATTAAGGGTTTGCAGACTATTGGAAAAATGAAGGAAGAAATATGGGAATCCTTTGGTTTTTGACAGAGATCATAAGAATATTTTAAAGCCTGGATTAACTCTTACTGAATATAATCTTAGGGTAGAGAATGTATTTGTCAGTTCGGAATACGCTAAGTGAGAGTAGAGAAAGATCCCTTTTCATCAGGATTTAGGGTTTTTTCCAGACATAATGAATAATGAGGAAAATATGTTATCAGAATCTGTGATAGCAAATGAAACAGCAGAGAATAATAAGCTTGAAACCAGGTGGATATCTAACATAGGAAGAGAAGAAACCTTCTGATGGCAGACCAGTAATGTGTGGTGACCTGAGCTCTTCAGCTTTTATTTATTTTTTATTTAAAGCAAGCTTTGCTGCTTGTGTCTGCTTTTCAGCCCTACTGCCGTCTTTCCACCTCCCAGAATTCTTCTGTGAATTGAGTTGAGCAAAAGAGACTGTTTCGCTGGTATTTTGAGAAATAGAAGCACTTGTGATTTTGAGGAAGATTTAGGGAAGAAGTGGTAAGAAATATCAAGAGACAGGAGGAGGAGTGAAAAGATTCAAGCTGCAAAACCTAGTAGAAATGTCAGAAACCATTGTTTGAAAATACAACTGTGAAAATGGATGTCAAGGAGGATGATTTGCAGCAGAGTTGACATTTGAAGTGATGTACTGTGGAGGAAGCTGGAGGATGCTGTTAAATTTATTAAGGAGTGTTTTTATTAACAGTGTCATTTACTAAAAATGCCATACCTCATTGAGGGTGAAAGACAGTGACGTTTCCAATTTACCTGTTGATTTTTGTTTTTCTTTCCCTCTCAGTCCCCTAACTTTGGGTACTTCATTTCAATGTAAAAATAAACTTGTCTAATGTTTAAGTCAGGTTGCTTGTTAATACTATTGCTTTCTTGTTTCAGATACAACTGCAGTATATATAAGCAATTAGACTTGTGTTTTATTTCTTTGGGAAATAACTTGATTCAAGGTTTTTGGATGGATATTAAGATCATAAAAAAGGGAATAGAAGACGTTATTTGAAGTCTTCATTAGGGTCTACTCTTGTTACATTAATGTATGGTATTTCACCATGTTTTTTCTTTATATGTAAAACATACCTTTGTATTTGTTCAGAAGAAATGAAACAAAAAGTCAGTTGTAGGCATTTAAAATATAGGGTGGGGTTTTAAACAAATCTGTTACATGGATTATTGGATACGGAATTAGATTTCACAGCTTCTGGTTTTTATTAATTAAAGGCTAAATACAATTTTTGTGAGACAACAGTGATCCTAAAATGCATCCTAATTCTGCAACTCTCTAGCAGTTGTATTTTGCTGGAATAATTTGATTTAATGTAAAGTGCTTAATTGTATCTGAAAGCTGTAAAGATACAATGCAATTTAATAATATAACTGTTGTGATATGACAGAGGCTAAGAAAGCTGCCAAAATAAGCCTTAGAGCTGAAATTTACCACTTACAGTTAAACTTAATCCTTTCCATAGAGGAGTTCTGAACCAAATTTAAGTTGTGGAGTTGTTGCCATGTGCTGTCCCTAAACTTCTGTTTAAATACCAGAAAGCTGATTGATGTCTCTTAATTCCTTCATGATGTTTACTACAATAGCACAAAATTGTGCTGTGGTGGTAACAGCCTGTATGTGTCTAGAAGTCTTTCATAAGCTTTTTTTCTCCCACAGTTTACCACAGTCCCACTTTATTCATGGCTTTATTCATGACTGGCAGAAGTGGTCTCTGCCTTTGCCCTGGCATTCTAACTGGCAGACTTTTTTTTCTTGGGTAAATGGTTTTTGTGGCTTAAAATGTAGGGTGTGGGGTTGGTTTTTTTGTTTGTTTGTTTGTTTTTGTAGCTCTTGTTTTGCAGTACAGTGAAGCATTCTTATCTCTGTAATAATCCACCCTGTCCTTATAAAACAGTAGTCTTACAATTGCATAAGCTTTTAAACTCTTAAATAGTACAGAAGTATGAAAAAAAACAAAACCCTGTCGCACTAAAAAAATATAAGAGAAAAAATATGCCTCCATCGTAATCTTAAGATACAAAATAATCTACTGGTCTAGACTCAGTATATATAAAAAGTTGGAGAATGTGGTGGTGTAAAAGTTATTTCAGATGGAGTGGAGTGTCATGGAGTAAAAAAAAAAAATTGCTTTGAATTCTTTATTAATAGTTTTTAAACAGGTAAGAAAGGGAGAAATAAAATATTAGTTACTTTTACTTTTGATAGCTTATTTTTAAACTTACTCACATTTCAACAGCAATCAGTAAGGAGATATTTTGGTATTCACGTACTTTCATAACGTAGGCTTAGTAAAGGAGTAATACTTAATTTCTTAGCTTTATCGGTTCAGATTTTAATCCGGTATATTTTTATCTTCTTAATGGCATATACCACAGAGACATCCAGAGTAGCCAATTACATCCAAGGTCAGTTGGAACTAAGCAACTCTTTTACACCACTTTTTTGATTAGATGAGGTAAATCAGTAGCTCTGATTCTTCTGTCTTTGAAGAGAAACTTTTACACAAATGATAAACAGGCATCTATTCCAGACATAATTTTTATTTCTTACACAGGCATATCTTAATTCCAATAAAATACTTTTTCTTCCTATTGACAGGCACTATGTGTATATTTACTTCCTTTTAGGTATGTTAGTGCCTGTAATTAAAAAAAAATCTTTTTAGGGTTTGATTTATGGACCATGTCCTATAAATTGTTAATTAATAACTCTGTGTGCATTTCAAGTACAATATATGTTAAATCAAGTTGTTACTGATCTGCCTCAAAGTAGTCTCAATACATGGTTTAGGAGAAGATACCCTAAATTCTGGGTTTATTTACTGAGTTTAGTGAAGCTACCACTGATTTATGACAGTGTAAGTGAGAAAAGAATCTCATCCAAGTGTTTTGATAACACTCACAGAAAAGTATTTTCTCATGGGAAGGTTTGGAGTGCTTATTTTCAATAACTATTTCATTTAAATCTTTATATGCATATTCTGTATTCAAAAAGTGTAGTATCCTTTGATAAACAGACACATCAGAATTTATTAGATTCTGATGGAGATTGGGATTTCTAGGTTTGGTAGAAGTGGATGTTTTCCCTGAGCAGACTCTTTGTTCTTGGTGTGGATTTCAGGTGAAGGTGGTACACAACTTACTGCTTTTTGTTACTTTTCTTCTTCATAAATTTATAGCCCCATATTTTCCCTGAAATATAATTTCAATTATTTTTACAATTTCTTTTATTAATACCATTGCACATATTTTGCAAGTCAGTTTTATAGATGGCTGTTTCCATCTTTTATTAATACCATTGCACATATTTTGCAGTTTTATAGATGGCTGTTTCCGTAAGTGGTGCAGTATTATAACATACAGAAAGGTTAAAAGACCTCACTCATGAGGAAGACCAAGTGATTTTCATGCTTCTCAAATAGAACAGCAAAGATTAAAGTCAGTGTAAGAACAGAAATAGGTTTTGAATTTATTTGTTTTTTAACTCTCTGACATCTTAAGTTGTAAAGACTGTTAGCATTTGAGTGCACTGAAGGGTACTGGTGATTCCCATAAACTTTTTTGTCACTTTATCAAGAAATGGCATTTCTTGTGCATTGCCTGGTTAAATTAAAGGCTGTTCTTCAAAGAAAGCAGTATAGCTGATTACCATTAGCATCCAACTTAGTAGAGAATTAGTATTAATCAAGTTTAGCATGTTAAAGAGAAGCAAGTCCCCTCTGAATAAGTTAGAAACTAAAATTCATAATTCATTAATTAAATGTTGGGTTTTTTTTTAGTTTCTCTACTCTATGTTCTGAACACCTAAATAATTTATAAAGTAGGTAGCATTGCCATCTGCCCTATTCTTAATCAAAAGAGGTCATATATTTTCTTCCTACAATAAATTAAGGGTTAAACAGTTTTGTCATGTATTTAATTTTGTATTAACATTGTTTGTTAAATAAGTAAGCCTGCTCATTCTTCTTCTGTGTTACATAACTTCACTATTGATACCTTCTAAGTTAGTTTTCAAAGAGTAAAGATCAACTCAAGACTTGCCCTGGAACTGTTCCTTCATGCTTTCTTGATTAAAGATTGCAATGTATTGTACATGGCATTTAGGAATATGGGAAGGAGTAGTCTTTCCAGGCTTCCTTCTAGCAGCTGCTATCTTTATATAATAGAAGAGACACATAGAGAACATTCTGCTGTGGGCTGAACCTGAGAGCTTCTCTTCACAGAAGGAAAGAGAAGATGACCAGGATGAAGTCTGCAGTCTGCTACTCTAATCTGCACTTCAGATATCTAAACTTTAACTTCACCTTAAATTTCTCTCTTCCATGTTTAGTCCATGAAGGTAGTTTGTTTTATTGTCTCACTGCCTACTTGATTTTCTTATTTTTTAAAATCACAAACTTCTCCATTCACCCTTCTCTTGGAGATAAATAATTTTACTCTATTTAACACTTTGAAACCAGCTCTGTATGTTGTGGTGCATACCTCTGCTTACTTTTTTTCTCTTGTTAGCCTCTAAGATTCAGGGTCCAAGGGTAGCCCTGTTTTTTTTTTCCACTTTTGAGATCACCTCATTAGGAATATTGATCCCTGTGTTTCCTCGCTGAACTAACTTATTTCCAGCCAGGTATGTCTGTGTATTTCCAATGTCTGTGTATTTCCTTTGTTCTGTGTCTAGAA